GGGGGCAGGGCAGTGGGCAGTTGAATCCTGTGGTCGTGTTAAGAAAACACACAAAGTAAAATGTAATGACTTAGATTTTGTTGGTCTCTTTGCAAGAGAGACTGCTGTTCAAATGCTGAGGCAGTACCTTCTGACACTGAGGTGCTTTATTTGCAAGTCATTTACACTGAGGGAAGGGCTTCTCAGAATAAGTGAAATACTCATGAGCTTTCCCATTATTCTTTCTTCTCTGTTTCCTGGAGTAATTTACTTTTTACTAGAGGACAAAGAGCACACAGGGAAGCATGCAAAATGCAAATACCTTGTTCACTGAAGATGGGAAGTAGGGCAGTTTCATAGGGACAGATTCCATGGCAGTATGTGCCAGCATCTCAGACCCATAGACGATAAACTTCTTCTAGAACACACTGTCTCTACTATGTCAGGGGACTTGGGTTGTCCTCAGCTCCTAAGGTGTCCAAGGTCTCATGAAGAGGTGCTGTGAAATCGAGGTAAACCCTTGTCTGTGTTGCTTCTCAGCCCAGACTGGCCTTTGGGTAGTTGCTCAGATATCTCCGGGCGCTGCACTCTCCATCTGCCTTAACCACTTGAGTGTCCTAAGATAATGCCTGGTTATCTTACAAACACAAAGCCCACATGGACCAGGGACTGTGTTCTGCTGAGACAAGAACATTTCCAAGGCAGCCGTGTCTGCTTATACCATTCATATGGAGTGGCATAAATTAAATATCTTCCACTATCCAGGCACATACACACAGAGAAAATATGTAAAATGCTGTGTGTCAAGTCATGTTTTCCTTTCCCTTAAGTTTCCCTGGCTATCAAGCTTCAACGTATTTATTGACTCTTCCTTTTTGGAAAGCTTGGAATAGTCCCCTTGAGTTCAAAATGGGATTGAAAATTGTTTTATTTTACACTTTCCTATCCTGCCAAAACTATCTGCACTTCTGCATACAGCTTAGGGAATTGTGTGTATTTTAGCTCTTGCCACAGCCAAGGTCATATTCACTCTACAGTTCATTGAAGCCTGCATCTTCCCTTCATTTCTTTGGATTTTGTGGCAGGATGGTGGAAGTTCTGCAGTATAATCAGGCAAAACTGGGGAATATTGATAAATTAAGTCTGAAATTGAATAGCCCTTTCCCCAATTATTTATTATGGTGTTCTATTTAGCATGTTCTGCATGGCCTTCACAGTGGCAGGTTTTACTGTGCTAGCAAGTTTAGTGACTGACAGCTTGTAATGATATCCTGAAAAATTCTTTTGAGGAGAGCTGGAAGGATTAGCAACTGGGAAGGCAGCTGATGACGGGGCACAGTAGAAGCCTCCAAATCAGCCAGAGACCATAGCATTAGTAAATGTGGTTGATGGATGGTTTTACTGAATGCATTAGCAGCTCTGGCATCCACTTGATTATCATTAGGTTCCAGAGTTAATCTGATGTTACTGTGATGAAACCTTCCAGAGTTGACAGGATGGCTGCAGGCTCAGACATACCTCAAACACTCATTCACTTTGGATTTCTGGGGCTTCCTCTGCACCCTTCACTTCTTTAACACATTTGTATATTTGGAATGCACTATTGAGGTAGGGGGAAAGAAAAATGTGTAGCTGCCACATCACAAAGATTGTGGCACAAACCATATTTTCCAATGGCTGGAAGCAAGCCCCAGGGCAAGGCCACCTCAGCTGCCTGTGGTGCATAGAGAAGCGTAATGCAGTGGGCTGTCAAGAAGCTGGGTGTGGCTGTGGTGAGGGGGTTAAAATCTCTCTCCTCACCCTTCTGATTGCAGAAAAGGGCTCTTCCTGAGACAGAGCATGGCTTAGAAATGGCTTCCCTCTTTCTCGCATTTTTTCCTCTCCCTCTGTGATCTGCTGACTCCTGGAAGGGTTCCCACAAATTCTTCCCCTCTACAGGTCCCCATAGCTCCAGCTGCAATTAGACCTTCAGAGGTACTCTGAGATCTTGCAACAATGGGGAAAGTGCTGGCAAAAAATGCGATGTTGTATTATTATCATCATCATCGACACACTGAAAGGTCCAGGTGCTTTCCATTGGTCTCTTAAAATAATTTCCATGTTTCATGCACAGGAAGCAGAGGAAAAAGTTGCATGACCGTCTTCGGCAGAGCCTGCGCTCGGAAAGGAACAATGTGATGAACATGGCAAATGGTCCACACCACCCCAACCCACCGCCAGATAATGTCCAGCTGGTGAACGTAGGTTTTGCTGCCTGCATTTCAGTCTAGGCTGCCAGTGCTACAGCAAAGCTTGCCCCACAGCTTTTAAACTTCTGCCTGCCACAGGCTGGTGACAATTCTTATGGATTTCTCCACCCCAGAAATTAGGGACTTTTCAAAAAAATATGCAGTAAAATGAGATAAATTTCTACAGATGACCAGTTACTGAGGCATGTGGCAGTGCTGCTGCTGTGCCTGTGGATCTAGGACACCAAAAGCAAGAAAAACACCTCAGAAAAATAATACTAACAGCTGTACCGCAGGCCTAAGTGTTGTAGGAATTGATTTCTTCAAACACTTATGTCTTGCTCTTCCTACTGCCCTTGGCCTGATGTTTGGTGAGTAGGGACAACCCCCTCAGATCAGGAATGCAACATGATGCAACTGAAGATTTTACAGTAGCAGTGGCTGGGGAGACGGGCCTGAGACACATACTCCACCAGCATCCCCCAGCCATTTGTCAGAGTGGACCAGAGAGTTACTCTTCAACTAACCCCTTGGCCTAGCCACTTGTCCTTAGAGGCCAGGGCTCATGCTGCCTGTAGCCACTTCCTCCTCTCCTCCCTGTCCCAGGGAAGCCTGACGCCTAGAGGGAAGGTAGGCTTCTTAACACTTTGAGCCACCCCTGCTCTCCTGCTCCACCATCACTGAATATATACATGACAGCTCATTGCAGGAGTGAGCCCTGGCTCTAAGTCAATGGCAGCACTCCCACTGACCTTGGTTAAGGCCAAGACACGTTTTCAGAAAAGTTCAGTTTCCCATATTTCCCCTCAAAAGACCTAAATCCATGATGTACGTTATTAAGAGAGGGGAAACCAGAAGTCTCCACTGAGGAGAACGAAGAGTCCTACCAGCAGCAACACTGTGGGAGGACTCCAGGTAAAAGCTGTGTGGGAGTTCAGGCACTGCATACCTCCAGCCCCATCTCTCAAGGCTTTGGCCCATTCTGAAGATCGTCCCCTGATGATTAGGTCTGCCCTGGTGCTGCATCCCTGGGCACTCAAAATAGCCATTTCCTGCCCAGATTTTTATCTTGCAATGAACTGTTGCTACTGCTAACCACTGCTGTCTTCTCCATCAGAGAATAGTATTTTTGATGTATCTGTTAGTAAAGGGGGAGTTGCCTTTCCAGGTCTCTATCCATAAGGAGTTCTCACTCCCTTGTTAAATACGTATGTTGTTTATAGCTTGATTGGGATGCAGATCTTTGCTGATTTCCTCATTTATTTCCTCCTGCTTTGAGTTTAGATGGGGTATGTATGCAGAGGTGTACACGAATGTGCTCAAGCATGTCAGTGTGGTTTCTACCTGTATATAAGTGACAAAGTTTCTGCTTTGGCATGTGTAAAAAACTGTGACTTGGGAGAAGGGGGAAGGGATTGGAAATTATGTCTGCAAATGTGCTGTGAATTACAGTTTTTAAACCTGAGGTTTGTCTGGGTTTTTTTCAGCAGTACGTTTCAAAAAACATCATCTCCAGTGAGCATGTCATCGAGCGAGAAACAGAGACCTCATTTTCTACGAGCCACTACACCTCAACAACACATCACTCCGTGACAGTCACCCAGACACCTAGCCACAGGTACTGGAGGGGGAAGGCGCACAGCACCTGTATTACTTCTGTAAAAAAAACCAAACCCAGAAAAAACTATGCTCCCTTTGTAGTGTTTTCATTTTAAGACTAATAATATTTGATGTCGTGTCACCTAACTAATTATCTTTCCAGGAATTTACAAAGAGCTTTATTGACTAAATGGCTGTTACAGTGAATTTTAGTATATGCAAATTGCTAATTAGTATATGCAAATTGCTATATCAGTGACAGTCCTGGTGACTAGAAAGCCCTCCTTCCCTCTCCTTTTATCCACACATGCAAAACTGTCTTGGTGCATGGGGATTTCACAAAACTCTGCAGCCCCAGTTACTAGCCCAAAGGTTATGCTGCACATCCCGAGCAGCAGTAGAGCCATTCCTTTCCCCTGGCTGAACTTCTGCTCATCTGCATTTGCCACTGAAGAATCTTCTCACACTTCTCTCCATTCTTCTCCTATCCTGGTTGCTGCTTTCCAGCTGGAGTAATGGCCACAATGAAAGCATCCTCTCCGAAAGCCACTCGGTGCTCGTCAGCTCCTCCATGGAGAACAGCAGGCACACCAGCCCAGCAGGGTCCCGGGCCCGTCTCAATGGCATCAGCGGACCACGGGAAAGCAACAGCTTCCTCCAGCATGCAAGAGAGACCCCTGACTCCTACCGAGACTCTCCTCACAGTGAAAGGTAGGACACACTACCTCATTACTTTCTGCTGGCAAGGCCTGGTGTTCCCAGACGGTTTCAAAGCTTGGGAGCACAGGAAAACCCAACTGTGCAGTGTCATGCAGAATGTACATTTCTTAATTCGTAAAGGTGAAGAGCTTCATAGTACTTTAAAGTCTACCAAAAACATTTCTTGCCTTCTTGCCTCTGCTGGATTTATTCCTAATAGCCAGTGGTTCACATGTGGATAAGTTCAACGAAGTCATGTGTCAGAAATTTTCACTGTAAAGTAAAAATGGATCTTTGCCTAATTATCAGTTTCTTAGAAGAAGCATGAGAAAACAGGGATTTTGTGAGACACAGAAGATGGGGAGAAGGCAATGTATTGATCCACAGGAAGAGGGCATCAAGGACTTGTAAGCAGTATAGGAACTCTGCCACCCCCAACTTTCTGGAGGATTCCAGCAAGTTATCTCTTTGACAATTCCCCCTTGCACTTTATTAAATAAAAGCAAGGAACACAAAGTGTAAGCCAGAAGAAGCCAGGTTGTTATTAAATCAGGAGTAGTTAGAAATAAAGCTGGCCAGGAGTTTACTCACAATGTAATTTTTTCTCTGAAAACACTGGTTCATTAGTACCTAAGGTCTGCCTTGAAGTGCATCAGTTGCAAGGAAACTTTAACTGAAAAATTCTTCTCAGCTTTAGGCTGGGATTTTATCTCAAGAGCATGGGATAGCCTCAGAGTAACAAAAGCACGACTGGGAAGAAACAAGACATTTAAAGAGAGCTTTTCTCCCAACAATCAGAGGCAGAAGAAAAGGAAAACCAAGGGTTACTGGACCAATTATCTGAGCATTGTGAAATCAGAAGGGATTTGATCTCATGGGATGTCCATGGTGTCAAAAATGCAGCCAGGCTATCCTCAAGGAGACCAAGTTGTGTAGGAGACAGACTGTGGTTTCCAGCAAAATGAATGTGCAAATAAGCAAAGGCTGTTTCTGTGGTACTCCCTCTGCTACACAAAGAACAACTGCTTAGCAGCAGGGTAAGGCACCACAGCTGAGAGCTTTCTGAATAAGGCCTGTACAACCACAGGCAGTGAACTGGCTCTCTCTATATAACAGAGTTATCTCCTATTTACCATGGAATTTGATTTCAGAATATGTGGCTCACATGACATAAACACCCATGGCCCCCGTCCAGCAGAGCACTTCAACAAGATTAACTTTTAATCATGCAAGTAGCCCCATTGAAGTCAGCAGGATTACTCACATGGGTAGAGTTCAGCGTGTGCTTAAGTGCTTTGCTGGATCAGGCCCTATAGCAGTAAATTGTCTCTTGCCTGGGAATCATACAGGACACATGGCCACACACCTGCCAACAGCCTAGTATATTTGGGTATCTGCATGTGAGAACCGAAGATCATTTGCACTGCATTCTTGCATTGCCTGGGACACTCAGAGCATCATTTTGATATCATCTGTTTAGATTTGAGAGAGCAGGGAGAAGGAATGTGTTCCTTTCCATTTCGATGAGTAGAAAGAAGGCATTTCATCAGTTATTTTGTCTCTTGAAGATTATGCTACAGGTAAAAAGCAGCAACATTTCTGTGATAATTCACCAGGCATTGATGGCCTAGCCTGTGCCTGAAACAACCATAAATTTGGGATGCAGAAGATAGTTCTCTAGGCCTTAAATTAGGCCTCATCTATTTTTAGCAAGAAGGAAATACATAGCAGATTATTTCTGAGATGGATTGCATGTATGTGTGTGTATATAAGGGGGAAGATGAGAGTTATTTGCAACTAAAAATTGCTATGAAACATAAAGGAATGCACAAGCTGACAAATTACTTCCTGATGCCATCGAATGTTACTGTGCTGTGAATTGCTACATCAAGGCTGTGCTCCCTCCAGTCCCCCAGCTCCTTCACAATTTTGAAATTAAATAGATTAGACATTATGAGGGGTTCTTTTGCATTACCACATCCCTTTGTTGGATTCCATGCCCTGACACCCATTTACATGAGCAGAGGACCCAAGCACTTAGATTTTATAAAGTCCTTAGTCATCTTACAGGAGAGAAGATCAAAAAACACTATCTCTGCACAAAAGGCTGGTCTATAGGATGAAGCTGTCAGCATGTAACTAGTTAATGCTTGTTGGCTGGCTGTGGATACACTCTGATCCCTTTTCACTGAGCCAGCATGGTTTACCTCTTGTTGGCCGTGAAGCTGGATAAATTGATCACCTTTTAACCTCTGTTTCAGGATGGACTAGAACTGCATGTATTTGGCTCCTGTGCCTCAGCTCATGGACAGCAGCTTATTAGTACTGCTCCATTGTGATGTGGGGGAATACACCAGAAATGCATGAATGCACAACACCCCAATATGAGTAACTTGACACTGGTGGAAACATGCACAGTATGCTGAATGCATTTAACTAGCTTAGTGCATTAACTGAACCAGTTTAGCTAAAATCCAATGTGTCAAGATGTACATCCAACACTGTACCAGCTGGGGAAGTAAAAAGGCTTCAGTTTTTCAGACAACATCTATTTAAAAATGAGAAAGGGATGAAAAGCTCAGTCATGGAAGGAAAAATAAAGAATTACTTCAATCATTCAAAGCATCAACCTATTAATTACCCTCTGCTCTCACTAGCAAACAACTGAATTAATTCCCATGCATATCTCCAGTCTGGGTTTTTTTCTTCTGTTTGTCTGTTGATGTAAATCAACTGAAACCGATTTACTTGGCTACACATCAGTTCAGGTTCTCTCCTGCTTTCTTGTTTATCCAATAACTCTGTTTTAATCAAGTATAATGTATGCAACTGAGTCGTAGATTGGATAAGAGAGTTGGATTCAGATTTATTTTGGTAATTTCAGACTCAGATAAATAAACCACTAATAAAAAACTAAATAACTTAATTGCCCATAGCTATATCTTGTCTCAGTAGGCCTGTGTAAGAGACGGAGCTTAGAAAGATTTTAAATATGGACACAGATGAAGTTCGGGCAGTGAACTTAGGATAAGAACAAAAGCAAAACCAAACTATGCAAAATGTGATGCTGGGCACTGTGCCTTTGATCAAGAGGTTTCAGACAGACCCTTGCCTGGCATGAATCTGCATGACCTCATAGCATCTCACGGAGCTCCTCTGATCCAAACCAGCTGAGACTCTCACATTTTTTGTCCTCTTCTTCTGTGGTGAATTCTGTACTGACACCTGAGCTTCATTTTCAGAAATCACCTTTGACCACTACCTTTGCACAAAAACTTATGACGGAATAGGGGCAAATTTTGCAGAGCAATCATGAACACTAGGTCAGACAGTTGTCCCAGCATTTGTTCCAGCACAAGGACACTTAATGCTCCACATCCCTTTGCAGTCACCACCTACCAGCCAGGGCGACTAGCATCCAAGGGGTGGAGCAGAACAAAGCTGCTGGGATGGTGCTGTAAGTCCTCCGTTGCCTACCACCAGTGATTAAAACTAGCAGAATCTGGTTCTAAGTTTTGTCCAAACTTTGCTTTCCTCCTTAGCTTGAGACAGTCTGGCAGGAAGAGGGTGAAGTCCCAAGAGGACTGTCCCTCGGCTCCCTTCCCTTCCCTGTCGGTTTGCATGCACCCCATGTTCTGATCAAATCCTGCCAGAAATGCAGCAGCCGTTTTCCCTTTGAGAAAATATTTGCAATTGCATTTTCTTTCTGGCAGCCCCCCAGTCTCTGAATCCCATTCCTGGATTCATTCCCGGAAGTTATTCTGGCAAATAATTTACAGCATCTCCATGGCTCTTCTGAGGCAAACAGACCTGGGTGATTTGCCATGCTCCTCCTGCTCTGAAACGTTTTTGCCCAGAGTCTCAGAAGTCAGTGGTTTTATAGGATTAATAGCAACAGAAAAGTTTCCTTGGTAGCCCAATGTGAGGATGCTAAGGATCTTAAGGGATCCCTGCTTTTTCCCTCCCAGCCCACATGAGCCGTTGCATTCACATGTCACCACCACTCCTATGCTTGCAACCTTTCCTCATCTCTTTTCTTCAGGTATGTCTCAGCTATGACCACACCAGCTCGCATGTCACCTGTCGATTTCCACACTCCGACTTCTCCCAAGTCCCCCCACTCCAAAATGTCACCACCGGCTTCCAGCTTGACCGTCTCTGTCCCTTCTGTGGCGGTGAGTCCCATCGTAGAAGAGGAGCGACCACTGCTCCTGGTGACCCCGCCACGGTTACGTGAGAAGTATGACCACCACCTTCAGCAGTTCAACTCCTTCCACCACAATCCTGCCCATGAGAGCAACAGCCTGCCACCAAGTCCTCTGCGGATAGTGGAGGATGAGGAGTATGAGACCACACAAGAATATGAACCAGCACAGGAGCCTCCAAAGAAACTCACCAACAGCCGGAGGGTGAAAAGAACAAAGCCCAACGGCCATATTTCCAGCAGGGTGGAAGTGGACTCTGATACGAGCTCTGAGAGCAGCAGCTCTGAGACCGAAACCGAAGACGAACGAATAGGCGAGGATACACCGTTCCTGAGCATACCAAACCCTGTGACAACCAGTCTGGAGCTGGCCACTGCCTACCGACTGGCTGAGAACAGGACTAACCAGGCAAATCGCTTCTCCACACCAGAAGAGTTGCAAGCAAGGTTGTCCAGTGTGATAGCTAACCAAGACCCTATTGCTGTATAAAACATAAACCACATAATTTCACATGTAAAACTTTATTTTATGTAATGAAGTATTCCACCTCTAAATTAAACAATTTATTTTATTTTAGCAATTCCGCTGATAGAAAACAGGAGAGGAAAAAAAAAAACCTTTTATAAATTAAATATACGTATGTACAAATGTGTTATGTGCCATATGTAGCAATTTTTTACAGTATTTCAAAAATGGGGAAAGATATCAATGGTGCCTTTATGTTATGTTATGTTGAAAGCAAGTTTTGTACAGTTACAATGATTGCTGACCCATAGTATTTTGCAAAACATTCTAGCCCTCTGTTGTCCTGGCTTTTTTGTGCACTGCATTATGACTGGATGTGTGATTTGCAAGAATTGCAGAAGTCCCTCTGGTCATCTATTGTAGAATCCCCAGATTAAAAAGCCCAGAAATGGCACTCCCACCCTACCCACCCCACCAGGAAAAAAAAAAACCCACACGCACACATACAGAGGGAAAAAAAAAAAAAAAAGGCTGAAAAAAAGAATGTCTTCTATAAGAAATCTTGTTTGCTTTCTGTATATGAAATGAGTTTTGTCTGCTCTCTGCCAGCCAAAAGGTTTGCTTCTTTGAGCACTGGGATAATAGTAGATCCAACAGCATGCTACTATTAATTACAGCAGGATAAAAAAAGAAAAAAATCAATCAAACAAACAAAAGCCAACCTTCATTAAATAATGTTACTTATAGAAAGAAAGTAATACTGTGATTTTAAACCAAATATATTATTAATCAGAGATCAGCTTGTAATCACTAGGAGCTGCCATTTCATTGTTTTCCAGATAGTAATTGTTCTAGTTATCCCTTAGAAAATGGGTTTAGGTTAGCTGAGGCTTTGAACCCAATATCTCTATCTAAAAAAAGGAAAAAAAAAAAAAAAAAAGAACAATTAAAAAATTATGTTAGTTTAAGTTACAGGGGTAAATATAATAGCAGATATCTGTAACCAAGCAAGGAAGAGATCTAGCTGGAAAACAAATGCCACTAATAAAAGTGCAATCAGTTTTCACCTCTATTTTTTAATGTTGATTTCTAATAGATTATTTATCCTTTTGTTTAACCTCAATTTTCTCCCCTTTCTTCTCTTTCTCAGAAATAGCTCTGGCAAGCTTCTAGCAGTACCTTGTTAGAGTTGCTGTTGGAGTAAGGGTTACCCCTGGACACAGAAATTACTTTCAGGAAAGAACTGATTTGCTGAATGATTAAAAAGTATAGGCAAGTAGGAAGGACGCAGCGCAAGTATGGAGTTAATTTCTACTCGTTTTTATTGACTTCTTGGGGTGAGCGAGGCAAGGCTGATGCAAAACCCATTTATGAAGGCAAGCACACCATATGGGTTACAGCCGCAGTGTGCGTGGCTATTTGATATCAGTGTATATATAGCCAGTGATGGCATTTAAGTCTTTGACTAGTGGTGAACAAGGAAGCTGTCAGTGCTGGACTGGTTGCATCCGTTCAGAGAGAAGTAAATAGCTTCTTTTGCACTGAATTCCTATCAGTTTAGTCAGGGTCACTCTGCCTCTCCTCTTCTTTTGATTTTTGTTGTGTATTCAGTTGGCACAGCATAGACTCAGGATTGATGTGGAAAACAAATGTTTTTCCTAGACTCTCGGGATTCTGAAAATGAGAACATATGTTCTACAGGTATTACTGGACTCTAAATAAAGAGCCATGTCAAGAGAAAAAAAAATTTCGGCCGAACTACGCTCATCCTTTTGGCCACATCCTGGTCCCAGTTAAATGAAGAGAAATAAGTCAAGGAAATTTTGTGAGATGTAAACCTGAGGAACTGAAGTCCTGACTCAGTAAATTGTTCAAGCATATGCTTATGCTAATCCCAGCAAAAGTTATATCTTCAGCATGTGCTAGACCCCCATTGACGCATCCAGCACATGCATCAAGTTAAGCATGCGCTTAAGAGTTTTACTGAACAAGGTGTCTTATTGATTTGAGACCTGTAAGTAAAGCCTAGTAAATGCAGCTGTTTACTGAGATGGTGAAAATCAGTGAGCTGCTCACTGTATAAATCAACCACATCACATTTAGTAAGACCATGTGTGAGTCTACCTGACCACCAGATTCCGCAGACAAATAAGAATCTTACCTTTTCCTTCTTCTATAGGAAGAAGATGATGACAAAGTTGTACTCTAGGATGTTGGTGGCAGAAGCAAAAGGCTAGAAAATTAGCACAGCTTTGGGCTGTGTGGTGGGTTAAAATAGCACTGCTCATTTGAGAGGTCTATGGGAGATGGCAAAGTTTGTCAAATACATATTGTCTCAACTTAAGACCCCTTCACCATTTTTTTCCCTAGCTAGCATGTAATTGAACACCTTTTGCCTTTGCAGACTAAAACAAAAGCTGTCTTCAAATTCTAAATATCACTCATTTTCGTCCCTTTAGTCATGCCTATTTATCAGTAATCCCATGCAGCAGAACATCACTTCCCCAGTAGTGATGCAACTGAGTAGTACAAAGGGCCAGGTGGGCTTTCCTGATGCAGAACACCAGTTTCCAAAGGATTTGTGCTGTTGAGTTTCCAGAGGCACTTGAAAAAGCTGTCCTGTTCAGTAAGGTCTCTGATACAGCAAAGATCTTACAGGACAGAAAAAGAATGGCAGAGGATCAAGAGACTTGCCCCAAAATCACCCATTTTAGTGACAGAATAGAGATTTTATAACACAGGTCTTCTGTAATCTCCTCCAGTATAGATCACCCACAAGGCCAGCTCTCATTGAAGTGTTTGCGATAGCCCAGGCAGATTAATCATGATGGAAAGGGAACTTGCCTTTAAGTGAAGTAAATTATTTGACTACTGACACTGTTATTCGAGAGGGCCAGTATAAAACGAAGGAGCAATTGCATGCTTGGGAGCTGTACATGTGAGATTTATTTGGAGTGGGTCTAGGGTAAAATGCAGCACCTCTTCTGTTGCAGAGCCTCGAAGTGGTGTATATTCCCTGCTTCCCACCCCACCCCACC